CAGCACCCTATACAACCAAATAAATCCCAAAGGAAGCCCTTATAGAGCTCCCCTGTCAGGCCTGTAGACTCTAGGCCTTGAGAAGGCCCGTCAACGAAAAGCTTGGGGCTTTAGGGTTTCAGGGAAGGGGTTGCTCCGACGTTCAGTTCGCTCTCCCTAACAGCACACACTTCTTCGAGCCAGGAAGTCCCCCTATCCGACAGCCGAGTGTAGAACAGCCGCTGTTTCTAGTGCGAACCCCAAAAAAACTTAACACCAAAACCCTAAGTTCAACAGCTTGCCTTTCCAAGCCCTAGAACCGAAACACACAAGCTCTGACAAGCAATGGCATGACATCTCTCACGCACCACCCTTATTGGAAACCCGTCGAGTGTCCTATAAAGCCTAGAATGTGAGTTCAAGAAAAGACGGAACCCTAACATCTACAGCACAGTAGGATCCTGACCATGAGGACCCCAGAAACAAAGGACTCCTGTTTCTTAAGGAAGCCCCAAATCCTTGCAATGAGGTTTAAGAAGCAGCAGCCCAATGGCGCCATCTGGATCATGAAGCCGGTGGGCAAGTCCGGGTCCAAACGGCATGGTCGGATTTGGTTTTTCTCGGGCTCTTGGAGGGTTTGATAACACCCTAAACCCTAAACCGTCAGGGTTGAGTGATTGTTGTCTTGAGTTCCAAACAAAAGTTGCTACATGGATCCATGAGTTCAGAGGGACCCGGGAGGCTTATTTAAGGAAGTATAGTGCCCTACCCCCCTCCCCCTTACCCCCTAAGGGTCCCTATGAGGAGTTATTCCCACGCAGAGAGAGAGCCCGGTATCCTGCAATCGAGAATCATCTCTTAAGCCCTGGGGTTGCATGCAGGCAAAGTTTGTAGGGTCGAACGAAGCACGTCGCTAGATAAATGTACCTGCAAGTACAGGTTTTAAAGTTTGCAGGATTGGTGTAATCACCTTGAAAACTTGTTAGATGCTACATGTACCTTCAACATGTGGAAATCCGGATCTTTCGCCTGCTGCCTGAGAAGCACGTCAAGCCTACACCATGATTCCTAAAGCCCCTAAGCATTACCCCAAACTCATGGTCGACTGAAACTTAAGCTAAGATAGCTCAGGGTTTTTCGGGGCTTGGAACTGGAGGTATATTTTAGAGATTAGACTTCCCGCCCCCCCCCCCAAAAAAAAAAAACAAAAAAAAAAACAAAAAATACCAAACTTAACAGCGCTGGGCGAAGGTTGCAGAGCCCGGGCCTTGAGCCCCAAAACACGCCACAAAACCCTGCGAAACCTTTAAAGCCCTAAACCCTTAAGCCCTAAACCCCTAAACCCTAAATGCCTAAGCCCTAAACCCCCTAAACCCTAAACCTGTAAAGCCTAAACCCCTAGCCCCGAAACCCTGAAGCCCTAAACCAAGCCCCAAACCCCCAAGCCCTAAACCCTAAACCCCTAATTCCTAAACCCTATAGATCCCTACATTATAGAACCCTACTACATCCCTTATAGACCCCTTTAAGGATCCCTTTAAAGGAACCCCTAAACCCTAAACCGTGGCCTTGAAAATGAGGTCGCAAGGTCGTGGCATCTTCCTCTTCGACAAGTTGAGCACCTCGGCTGAGTCGCGGGTTTAGGGGTTAAGGGTTTGTTAGGGTTTAGTTAGGGGTTAGGGTTTAGAGTTTAGGGTTTAGGGTTTAGAGTTTAGGGTTTAAGGTTTAGAGTTTAGGGTTTAGAGTTGAGGGTTTAGGGTTTAGGGTTTCTCCTGCAATTTCGGTTCTGCGTAAAGAGTGGTAGCCACAGCGTTAATCAATATTGCGAAGGATAAGGAAACAGCAGTCTGTATCGATGCATATTCGTGTGTTCAGAAATACCGACAGATGTATGGATAGGCAGATAGTAGATAGTTCGATAGATTGCTAGATAGATAAGAAGATCGACCGCTGGATCGATGGGCTGACAGGGCGAAAGATCGATGCATGGATGCATGGATGGATGGATGGATGGATGGATAGATAGATAGATAGATAGGCAGAGCCGTAGATAAAGCTTGCAGCCTGAGGTTGAAGTCGAGTGCCTTTAGGGTGCAGGGCTTGAAGGTTTAGGGGCTTAGTGCTTCAAGGTTGAGGGGGTTGAGGGGCTGGGGCTTTCGGGCTTAGTGGTTGTTGTGGCCTTCTTTCGGGTTGCTTTGCATGTCTGGACAAGGAAACCCCTAAACCCCAAACCCCTAAACCCCAAACCCCTAAACCCTAAACCTAAACCCTAAACCCTAAACCCCTAAACCCCAAACCCAAGAGGTCAAGTCTCCAGCTGGCGGCAGGACTGAGGGCTGCACTGCGGCTTTCCCACCAAAAACTCGAGAGCCGGAGATAAGACCGACTCAAAGCTCCAGATACAGGGCCCTACTAATTATAAAGGGTGCTATAGGGGGGCAAAAAATTACCGATGCTATTGTTGGGGGGGCTCCTTATCGCAAGAGTATAATATATTCCACAGCCCAATTTCTCATTATTAAGGAACCTACATTTCCGTCAAATTCGGGTTTAGGGCCTGGCCTTACTTGGGGCATAAGGCAACAGTTTCTCTGGGTTTCCCGAATCCAATGTAGTTTCGTAGTGGGGTTTCTTGTAAACAGCTTGCTAGGATACCTGCGTACTGAGCCAGCCAAACAGGGACTACATCAGAGAGCCCAAGTAAAAAGTTGAAGTATTCACACCCGCAGTTAGGGTATGTATGACCCTAATGGCCAAGTGCTCGCAACGTGATGCAGGACCCAAAGTGGCTGCGGCTGCAGAAGGCCTGACACTGCAAGAAAGAGAGCCATACCTAAATCTTGAAGCCTTGCGTGGCCTCCAAGTTGTGATGTGTGTCCCGTCTCGATTCACTGAGTGAGAATCTGTAGAGCTTCTGACTCATCAGACTTTGTGCTCTACTGTATGCTATCTTACCACATCATACTATGTTCCCTTGTAGCATTCATTCAAAATTGTGGCGAGTTCTCTTGCTTGCAGGTTTTCAGCCGTTCTTGTTTCCTAAGCCGTGCATCCGAAGCTCCGAAAGCCCACTGTCCTGCAGAGCACAGGAAGTGGAGACGAAACCCCGCCGCAAAGACGGCGGGCACCTCAAATTCTGTCCTGTAAGGGTTCGGGCTTTAAGGTCGCGAGTGTTGAGGGGTTTGGGGTGGGGATTTGTGTTGGGTTACCAGGACACAGGACAATGCACAAGCATGTTTCAGCAGCTAGCCTCGTGGATCTAGAGCAAGACCTACTTCGGTAAGTATAACTGATACATGACAAACAAGATACTACTGGTAGCAGTGGCAAAGGCCATAAGGCTCCGATTGAATGAACACCAAAAGAAGCAGCATTAACAATAAGACCTCCGCAATTTTGAGGTGCGGTCTTCTTCGGCCTTGTGCTAGGAGCTTGTTCTGTTTGTGCTGGAAAAAATGGTTAGACCCCAGTGATTTGCTGAACTGAAGAACGCGAAGGAGAGCCATCATTGCAACTACGACATCGACGACTGCGATGGCGGTGATGACGACAGTGATGGTAAGGAAGAAGGCTACGATGTTGGCGATGCAGCATTGCTTGTGTCGAAAATGATGACGGTGACTGCGACGCTGATCTTCATTGCTATGGCAAGGATACTGCTGACGGTGATGAGGGTGGCAACGCTGATGATGTGGATGTTGCTTGTGCTGTTGTCGGTGTCCACCAGAGAGAGTCTTGTCGATACCGCAAGCCCGTAAGCCCCAGATGTCAAACCCCTCAAACATCCATATCTTTTTATATCCACATATGTATGTGCATATGCAGTGTTTTCCGCATGTATATATATATACATATATACATATTATATATATATATATATATATTTATAACTTTCAATATCAGACAGACAGGCAGACAGACAGATAGACATCCTATGCAAAGCCAGTTTGCTCAAACCAGAGTCACTTCAGAGCGTGCACCTAACTAAACCCTGAGGCGACGAGGAGGAGGAAGAGAAGAAGGAGGCCGAACCTTACGTCGCCGTTGCCTTGGAGTTTTCGACACATGCCATGTGTACGTGCGGAATTCGGGGTTTTAGGTTGTACGCTTGTGATCATGTGTTTGTGCGGATGCGTATGTATACAAAATAACCCCTGTATGATACGGGCATATGCATATGTGTATACATCGAACATAGATCAAGCTTTCCGCACACACTTACATACATACATACATACATAGAATACTTAGATCGATAGATAGATAGACAGATAGACAAATAGATAGGCACTTTTGGATGCAGAAACATAGCCTGACAGGTCGATAGAGATATTGAGAGACATACAGCGAAACAGCCAGACAGACTGACAGACAGGCAGGCAGACAGGCAGACAGATATAGTGACAGAGAGATAGACCGACAGACAGACAGACAGACAGACAGACAGATAGACAGACAGATAGACAGACAGATAGAGCGATGGATAGATGGGTAGATGGATACATGGATAGGTAGACTGTCAGTTCGGTAGGGACGTACCTGTACAGTGTATGCATGTGCATGCACACCTATACGCCTAGATAAGTGCCTATGCACTGCACAGATACATACATACATATATAGATATATACACGCACACATGTCGAGAGAGAGAGAGAGAGTGTGTGTGTGGGTGTGTGCGCGTGAAAGAGATGCTTGTTGGTTCTATGGCTTCCTATGCGTTCCAGGCTCTTGAATGAGAAGCACCCGATGCTTGAAATGCGGCCTGGGGTTGCTGGGTCCTGTGAGTTTAGGGTTTCGCGGTTTAGGTTGTAAGGTTCAGGGTTCGGGGTTAGAGTGTATGGCTTCGGGTCTTTGGGTGTTGTGGGACTTTGTTGGTGGAGGTGGCTGGATGTGCAGGGAGTTTAGGGTCGTCTGTCATGGGCTCCTAGAGGTAACATGGATGGGTACAAGTTTGCCCTGAAGACGTGCTGCTCGAGGCAAAGATAGGTTCCAACCTCCGCGGTTCTGTTCAGCACGCGATGACGCTTGCCTTTCTGAATCCGCTGGGCTTCGCCCTGTTCCGACTCCTAACCTCGCAGCCAGGGGAGAACGTCCTCGTCTCTCCGACGTCCATCTCAGGATGTCTGTCCATGGTCGCGGCTGGATCCACAGAGGGCTCAGTGACGGAACAGGAGCTGGCGACCTTGCTAAACGGTCTGCTGCCAGGCTTGCCTGCAGAGAGCGCCGTGGAGATGAATAGCTCTGCCTGGGTTCGCATGTGGGAGTTTGAGAAATCATGGACCCGTAGATCCTAGAGAACCCAGAACTACTTGTATATCATACAGAACATATCTAGGGCCCTAAACAGTAGATCCCTCAGAATCCGCAACCCTCGAGGTTGGTGCGGCCAGACTTTGTGGAGGCCGTTCAGAAAAACTTCCGCGCAGAGGCCCACGAGCTGGCGAGCGCGGATCCTCAGCCGATCAACGAGTCTTGGTGCTTGTTCATACACGGCGACCATGAGGGCTGCTAACTAGGGTATGTTACAGGGTACTATAGGAATGAGATCCTTCTTATGGCCTTTCCCTAGTTCATGTAAACTACGAGGAAACCCAAGCCACAATAATTAGGACCCCAGACATTGACTGAGGAGTGGGTTAATGAGAAGAGTCTCGGGCGCATCCCAAGTCTCTTCGACAGGCCACTGGATCCTCTCACTGTGATGGTGCTCGTCAACACGGTTTTCTTCAAGGGCTCTTGGGCCACAGTCTTTGATCCAACGCTTACCCAGAAGGCACAGTTCAAGGGTTTCTCGTCGCTTCTTCCATGCGACATGATGTACAAGCACGACAAGAGCATGCCTTTCCGTGATCATGAGAACTTCCAAGCTGTGCGACTTCCTTACAGCGACGAGAAGACATGGGCAACCATCATTCTTCCGAAAGGCCACGGCATGCAGGCCCTGTCCGATCTGGCAACTTCCCTTGAAGAGGTCCATGGGACTTAGTAAGTAAGGTTCTAAGTACCTTTATTGGGGCTATAAGTAGCTGTAAGTATAGGTACCCAAGTTATAACCTTAGTTACTAAGTCCCATGATCCTTTAAGTAGAAGAGGTCTGGGAGTCCCTGGACGAAGGGCTGCGCGACCGGCGTGCGGAGGTGGAGCTGCGGCTGCCGCGCTTCCGCCTCAGTGCCGGAGGGTCCATCAAGAGTGTGCCCCGGATCTCCAGCAGTTTCCGGGTTTTGCCTTTTTGATGTTGCTGCTCCTCAGTGTTCTAGTTTAACTGAATCGTAGAGACGAAAGAATCCGATAGCCTAATAGAACCTGGTTTTAAAACAAAACACTGGGCCCGTTTTGGGGCTCATTCATGTGGGTCCGACTATTTATCAGACCCGAGCTTTCTACATGAAACCCTACGCCCCAAACCCCAAAAAAGGTAGGTGTTTCGAGCCCTAAACCTCTAAACGCTGCCTCTGTGGGCTACTTGGGAACCCAGGTCCTTCGTGAGCTTGGCCTGAAGGAGACCTTTGAGCCCTAAACCCCTCAACCCCTAAACCCCTAAACCCTAAATCCCTAAACCCTAAGCCCTAAACCCCTAAACCCCCTAAACCCCCAAACCCCTAAACCCCCCAGAAACCCTCAGCCAACCCTGAAGGAGACTTTTGAGCCCAGCGGCGGATTCCTAAAGATCTCCGAGGATCCCCGGGTCCATCTCGGTGAGGTCATGCACAAGGCTTTGCTTTACTCGGAGGATCATGGGTAGTTGCAGGGGGTTCCTGTAAGGGTCCCCTTAAAGGGATCTATAGGGATTCTATAAGGGTATAGGGTTTAGGGGTCAGGGTTTAGGGTTTGGGGTTTCGGGCTTAGGGTCTAGGGGTCAGTGTTCAGGGTTTGGGGTTTAGGGTTCAGGGTTTAGGGTTTAGGGTTTAGGGTTTGGGGCTTAGGGTTTAGGGCTATGACCTAGGGACCGGAGAGACAGGGGTACCTTAAAAGGGATCCTTTCAGGAGTTTCTTAAAGGGATCTATAAGGGTTCCTTAAATTTATCTACAAGGGTTCTTTAAAGGGTTTAGGGTTTGGGAGTTTCCGAAAATTAGGGGTACCTTATTTCGGGGTCCTTATAACAAGTGTCCTACCATTTAAGGTACTATATTAGGATCCCCCATTTTCAAAACCCCCCCAATATGCACATAAGCATAAGCATGTTATAGGGATATCCCTACCTTATTGGGCTTCATTATGACGGGGGTTTACGGGCTTTGGTGGCTTCCCCTAAAGCGCCATGTGCCCACATAGTATAGACTTAGGCCTTATAGTACCTATACAGGGACCCTTGTCAGGCTAAAGTAACTAGGGTTGCAGGCTTGGTGGGTTCTAGGTTTCCTGTAAAGGATACCATAAGGGTCTTGTGAGGGATCTATAGGGCTTTGGGGATTTAGTGAGTTGAGGGGTTTAGGTTAGGGGCTTTAGGGCAGGGTTTTGGGGGTTGTAGGGTCCTAGGGAGTTAGGTTTTAAGGAGTTTAGGAGTTTAGGTCGGCTTAGGGTTCGGGTTTAGGGGTGTAGGGGCTTGGGGTCATGCACAAGGCGACGCTGGAAGTCAACGAGGAAGGCACCGTTGCAGTTGCGGCAACGGGGGCTGAGATGAGATCCAAGTCTATTCCACAACCCCCTGTGCCAGTCACAGTGGACCGGCCGTTTCTCTTTGTGCCTTGGGCCTATGTCGCCCACCATGATTTCCCTCAGCCTCCTTTTTTTGACATTGAAATCGATAGGAGACAGTGTACCATTAGGCCTTGTTTTGAGGGATGCCCGCTAAGCACTCAACGGATGCTTGTAAGAGATCATCGGCAACCAAGGTGCTGAGCGACAACTCCGGTGCAATTCATTTCCTGGGGCAGGTGGCCTAGTACTCCGAAAAAGTCCCATAAAGGACATGTAAGGCCAGCGAATACCTCAAAATGTTGAAAGAAGCGCCTAGACCCTAAAGCTACCCTAAACCCTAAGCCCTAAACCCCTAAACCCTAAGCCCTTATATGGGTCCTTGTTTGCGAGTCGCTAAAGGGGCACTAAGCAGGTTGCGGCGCCGGAGCTGGCCGGGGTCGAGGCCACGCTGAGCGGCTGAACCGCCACCGACGAGCCCGTAGAACCCTTATTAATATAGGGCTATAGTCTCCTTAGGCATCATGCTGCATCTTTGTGCATATCAAACGCAAGAGAATATTAAACATGTTATTTTAATTATGGTTCTAAGGGGGGTATGGAGGGGCCTAAGCAAAACAACCTGTACTGTCTTGGGGCTCCTTATTGTAACTATAGTACAATGGGCCCCAAAACCCTATTAAATTTTTAAGGCGCCTATAGTAGGTATAGGAGGCATCGAAAAAGCATCCCCTAGTAGTCCCTAAATACTGGTACTTTGCAAGGTATACCCCAAAAGATCACTGAAAGTCATGCAGGCCCCTATAGAAGAGCCGAAGCCCTCAACCCTGAAGCCACCTGGAGAATAACCCTCACTCCCAGTCACTGCGCCCCATCTAACCCTAAGCATTCAACTCTAGCCGCAAAGACCCTCAAGTGTCAACCATCATAAGCCAGAAACCTTGAACGTCTATACCTTGAGCATTCCATCAAAGGACCAGAGATTCTGACTCACTAATCCCTGAAATCCTCCCCAAAGCCTGACACCTTCTAAGCCCCTAAGCCCTAAATCCAACCCCCAAACAACCTAGACCCTCTAATATACCCCAAACACCGACTGTTATGGGCCATAAGACTCTGGTAAAGGGCCCTTGGGGGGTCCTGGAAGAAACCCTTACAGTAGAAGCCAGAAAGTTGGAATATCATTGTCGTAACCCCTTTAAGGTAAATTATAGGGGTTCCCACCATTAATCCATATTCCAACTTTCTGGAGTTCCCTTTAACGTTCCGGTCTTCAGATGTGCAGCCGTTGATCGGAACCTCGGCATTCGTGTGTACAGTTCCGGAAGGCCGAAAAGGACTGTGGCGACTTACTACTGGGGCCTAAACGGTTTAGGGCCTTAGGGGTCTAGGGTTTAGGGTAAGGTTCTGACTACCAACGCTATTTTGGGGTTCCTCGATTGCAAGCATATTTGAACATACCCCCAGACCCCATTGCAATGCATTTGCGTGCATTGACAATTGAACCCTAAGTCCAAGAGTTAGCGGGCTAGCATGATCTAGAGGTACCCGCCTATCGTCACCTGCGATACCTGCAAGCGGACACTGGCCAAAGCCATCCCCCGACCATAAGAGCTTGACCAAAGCACACGGAAGCTAAACGTCTGTCTGCAAAGCCCTGCAGGCAGAGAAGGTGTGTTGCTCGTGGGGCTGAAGCTTCTGAGTAATGTAGGAACCTGATTAAGAACCCTGGGCCTATACCCCGAAATAGTAGGACTCGTATAAGGTTTCTACATTATGGCCGTCCTTCTTGCATTTCTTTCCGGGCTTCGGGATTGTTTGAAAAGACTCATGTACTACTTGCAGGGCTTCCCAGCCCGTTAGCTGAAAACACGCATCCAACCCCGGTATTCGAATCACTATAAGATATAAGCCTCAAGCCCTCACGTTAGGCATCCTCTGCCCCTTGTGCAGCCCTAAAAGGCACTAAGCGCGAAGCTCAACCCTTAACCCTTAACCCTGACTAAACCCTAAACCCTCCAAAAACCCTTAACCAAAAAGCCCTAAACCCTTAACCCCTAACCCTAGACCCCTATAGAATCCTTTAAAGTAACCGTAAAACCTTTAACCAAAGAAACCCCATGAGGTCCAAAGATACCTTTCCGAGCCGCTGCTCATCGGCGGCAAGAAGTTCGATCTGAGGCTCTACGTGCTGAGCCCGGCTGGGGTCGCCGTTTAGGGTTTAGGGTTCCTTTAAAGGGGTGCTATAAGGGTTCCTTTAAGGGATCTGTAGGGGTGTAGGAGTTGGCCTTTTAGGGTTTACTTAAAGCATCATGGGACTTAGTAACTAGGGTTATCATTACGGTAACTATACTTATAACCCCAATTAAGGTACTTATACCCTTACTTCCTAAGTCCCATGATCCTCCAAGTAGGGTTCCTTAAACGGGTACTATAAGGGTTCCTGTAAGGGATCTGCAGGGAGTAGGAGTTAGGGTTGTGGGGCTTTAGGGTTTAGACTTGAAGGATCGGGTTCGTACCGTAGTTTAGGCTGTACGTAGATGTCGTTTACGGGCCCCTATCCGCGGTAGTTGTAGCAAGGATGGAGGCTGAGGGCTCTGATCACTGCAAGGGGTTTAGGCTTTAGAGCTTCATGATCAGTTTTAAGCATGCAAGTATGCTTGTATGATAATCGTAATAGCAATAGCGAATGTGGTAGTACCAGCTGTAGAGGCGGCAGCCACCGCAGAAGCCATGAATTTGGCAGTAGTAACAGTAATTTTGTACTGCAATAATACTAGATTCTAGATAGTATTAATAGTATATTTGCCACCCGGCTGTCATTGCAAGAACAGCAAGGATAGTGGACAATGGGGGCCATGATAGTCTTCACGCGCTAAGTAGTAGAGGGGCCTAAACAATTGCCAATGTTTTTTTGGGCTCCTTGTTTCTGCAATGTCACTATATACATACCTCCAAAGCCTATTCTCATTATTCAGGCCCCGCATTTCATGGTTCAAGTTTCGTGTAGGAACCTGATAAAGAAACCCTGGGCCTATAGCCCCAAAATAGGAGGATTCATATCAGGAACCCTAACAAAGGCCCAAGGTTTCTTAATCAGGTTCCTACATCACACTGCCATCAACTTCCTGAGTTTTCCGAGGGTTTTCTACCTCTGAAATTCCTAGGAAGCCATAAGACGGAACCCCACACCCTGCCGTTTTAAACCTTACTTTGGGTCCTAGGCTGAGATTGATTTGCGAACCTTAAGACCCAAAGCCCTAAACCAAACCCCGAAAGTCGCTCTTAACATGAAACCATTCAGAACCCCGCAGAAAACAACACCAAACAAACTACAACAACAACCCTGAACTCGGCGCACATGGCCTCCAACACAGACTCCCTCGGCAGACAGATCTCAAACGAGGTACACATGCTTAAACCCTCCAATCAAACCTGAGAGAAAGGCCTCCGATCCCAGGGATTACGGGTTCAGGGGTTGGGGGTTTAGGGTTTAGGGTTCTTATAGTGGTTGATGATTTAGGCTTTTCGGGTCAGGTTTTTGGCTGACGGTGTGGAGTGGTCGAGTTGAGGGGTCTTGGTTTCGGGTTTCGGGTTTAGGGTTTAGGGTTTAGGGTTTAGGGTTTAGTCGAGTTGAGGGGTCTTGGTTTCGGGTTGTGTGTGCGTTTCTGAGGTGTTGGTCACGAGCTACAGCCCTCTGACCATCTACGTGCTGGCGTCCGAGCATTTGAGAGCTATGGGAGCGACAGAGAACTTGGAGAAACCTGCAGCTCCTGTACGTGGCTGTCGAGCACAGAGACATTACCCTGACTGAATCCTGAAACACTGCCAGTGGCCTTTCTACCTAGCAATATTACTTGACTCACTGAGGGCTTTTTTTCCAAATCTGGCACAAGGCCGACAGCTTTGAACAATTTCTGGGAAGAGCAGTTTGCTGGCTGATCCTGAGGTACCGCAGCGGATTCGCACGTTCCTGAGATTCAAGTGTGGGCCAGGAAGCGAGTTGGAACGGTTGTTCTGTTTTGATGGTCGTGTACTGAGGGCTCCAAAGGACAGTTTTTTGTTTAACTGATGTTACATTAGAAGCTCCGGGTTTGGTGTTATCACCGCACTGCTTTCGGTCCATGTATGCTTAGAGGCTTAGAGGTGAATGTGCAAACGTAAACCTGAAGCTGGCAGCCGTGACCGTAATCTAGGGGTCATCCCTTCAAGTTCCCTTACGGTAAAGTATTTTCTCTAGGACCCAGAGTAGGCCCTTATTCCCTTTTTTGAGGCTTAGGTTCCCTTATAAACCCCTTTAAACCAAAAAGGGCACCCTTTTTATTCCTAGGTTACTCTTAGGTCTAGTTTCTAGTCAAGGAGTCAAGCCATTAAGGCTCCTCTGTCAGGCAATCTTGCATGGGGCTTTGAGCTGCGTGCTCGCAGGCCGCGGGGGCCTGTCAGCACCCATACAATTTAAAGACCTTTACTTCGGATACCTTACCGCTGAGCTCCCAAATCGCTCCAAAACCCTCAATCCTGAAGCCTAAACCCCAAAACGCCCAACTTGTTTCAACCAAAACACTAGCGTTAAACCGAAACCCTCAACTACCCCTAAAGCCTAAACCCTGAAACTCCCAAGTCGATCTTTCTTGAACAAGGCTCGCTTCTCGCATGCTCGCTTTTCCATGGACACTGCTGATTTGTCCGATGCCCGGAGGGCAGAATTAGAATAGGGTTTGGGGGCCCGATATACTGTAATTATAATAAGGAACTCCCAAAATAGTATAGGTATTTATTAAGGGCTTCTTTAACAGTCCTGTAAGCGGGATCTATACGGGTTCGGGGTTGTGAGGGTTCGTTTGAGGGCGTTTGGCGCTTCAGATTTCGAACCCAACAGGTCTTAAACACTATCGGCCTAAATTACAAATCTTAAAACCAAAAGCATGAAACCAAAGGTTCTTACATGCACTTAAGGGCAGCAGTTCCATTTCTGGTTGGGCATGCGGCCATTCCTGACTTTAGATCCTGGAGCCGGTGGCCCCGAGCCCAGACCCCTTAAATCAGTCAGAGAGTATCCGGAGACTCCAATATTAATTAAGGAATATACCTTATATCAGATTAGAGATCCTACTATAATCTAAGGTGTATATTCCATAGTTAAGGGATATTGGAGTCTTTGAGTATCCTACCATGATGTGAGGTAAGATGGAGCCTTTCCAAACCAAGAGAAAATCGATTGTACCTTAAGTAAGATTAAGGATCCGCGTCCCTCTGCTGCTTACTTGGGGTTCAAACCCGAAACCCTAAACCCTGAACCCCTACAGATCCCTGAAGGTAACCCTTATAGTACCTTTTAAAGGAACCCTAAACCCTAAACCCTATGGGCTCTGTTTGGATATCCGTTTAGAACCTCTGGGATTCCTGCAGAGAGAGCCCGAAGCCTTCGAAGTGCTCGGAGTGCCCTTTGTGACGGAAACCCTA